CAGCCCTTTTTTATTGGGTCATGAACACAGGGGATATCATAAAATGGGGACTAAAATGATTTATTAAGAGAATACATTATCTTCTAAAGGGAAGATTTTTAATCTATGAAACACTCACACTTGACCCAGTACAAAGGTTTCTAGTATTAACAGGAGTGGATGCAGCCCTGATTTAGATAGGGGAGAAATGCAGAAGCCAAGTGCATCCCTGGGAGGGCTGGTGCAGAAGGCTGTAAGTCCCTGAAGCATCCAGGAAAACCACACCTGTGAAGTGAGCTAGAATTTTAAGGACATCTTATTTTAATAGCACGAGATATATAAAATTGTCATAGAAAATCAAATACCAAAGGATTCTGTATTTTGAAAATGTCTTTCAGTGGTATTAGCTGAGCAAGGCTCAGATATGTTATTGAAACGCCTTGTCACCACTGAAAGGCCACCATGTAAAGCAGCGTGCAAACACTAAAGCAGCTCATGTTGTGTGCCTGTTTCTCCCGGTGGCATTTTGCTTACATATAGAAACAGATGCGAAGCAGAGCTGCAGATCAGTGTGGTCCTTGCACATGTTCACGCCACACCTGCAATGGATTAAAGGCCAAGAGCGCTCCTCACTTCTTGGTGTGAGGGACACTCCAAGTTTAGGTTATGTTGATGTATTACCACCTGGCTTCCTATTCCATGAAGCTGATGAGCACATACATTTTCTTTTCCCTCTGGGAGCAAGCATTTTCAGCAATGAAGCTGGCTTAAGTCTACAGTGTTCCAGCTGAAATCTGCAAGATCTTGCTAGGTTTCTACCAAGATCTCGTTTATTCATGCTCCATTCCCTGGGAGGCTTATGGAGCTTTGCTTTTCTATCATTTGCTGCTCACAAGCTATGACTATTTGTTTGACCGATCCCAGCCCTTGCTACAGACCCTGTCCATCACTGCAGTGGTACAGAGGAGCGATAAAGGCAGCAGGATGTTCTTTCTCTCTTGAGGTACACAAAAGGTAACTGGCTGGAGGTCTCCAGTTCAATTACCATAGAATTGGAGATCCAGAATCCTGCTGTTTATTCTATCTCCATTTTAGAAATGCTAGGATGGGCAGAAATGTAGGATGTTTTTCAGGACAAAGCGGATCCAAAACTTCTTATGAATATGAGCTTTCCAAGCTTTGAACAGGACATTTTGGGGAGAGAATTCTTCAGGAGGCCCAATATCATTTATAAATTCAGATCATTGACCAACACTACTGTATTTTAGTTATATGCTGCATATGAAATCTCAAAACACAGACGACTTGGATAACAAGGATTTCATCTGCGCCTGGCACATTGCTGTGCACGCAGCCAAGGCTGCGACTAGGTGGCAGCACTCCACTGAGTAAACTCAGCCTCAGGCTTTACTAGGAACCAACCACTGCTGCTCACGGGAAATGCCATATTCTAATTTAGAGGGAAATAGAGGGTAAATAAAAGTCACCAAAGCTTCCTGAAGTCTTCTCTCAGGACTGCGCAGGACAGCTGGAAAGTTGCAACTTTACTGAGCAGTTCTTCTGCAATGAAATCCAATGCTACAGAAAAATGGCACTGGACTCGTCATGAAAATGGGAAGAAAAATAGAAAAATTCTGTAAGAATTTTCTCAGGGTCTCCAGCTCTTCCTCCAGACAAAAATCAGCTGCCTCAGAAGAGCTCACAGTTCCCACATATTCCCCCTCAGCAACTGGAGCAACTCTCTGGCAAAGCAGACATAGTACAAATAGCTCAACAAAGCTTTTACTGCTTGGCTTAGTTTTTGTCTCAGACAAGACGAGATACCATCACTTACAAGCCAGTTTTATGAGGATCTGTCAATTCAGTCCCCATCTGTTTCTAGCAAAAGAAAAAAAAAAAAGAAAGCCTTTTCAGGCCTGGGTAGAACACAGAGTCAAATCTACAGAGCACAGACAGATTCAAGTATTTGAAGCCTCTTGCTTCAAATATCAACAGGTATCAAGGGGAGAGTTTGCATTTCAGTTTCCATGTCAAGCTGGGTTTTATTTCAAACCTATTATTAACAGTTATCATTTATAAAACTCTAAGTATACACAGCTAAAAAGAAAGATGAAAGAAGTGATGAGATGGGTCACTGTATGCAGCACTGGGGAGAAAGAACAGAGATGCACTAGGTTTAACACATTCACTTAGAGCTAAAAAATGTTAATGAAATCTGCAAAGAGAAAGGAAGGTGCTGCCTAGGGTATAAAATAAGAGCCTCAGAGCCTTAGAGTGGCATGATAGAAGGACAAGATCCCAAAGCTGATTTCTTACAGTTTCCAGAATCAACCATGGGGCACGAGAAGGATGGGCTAGTTTGCTTTTGTCCGAACTTGGTGTTTTGTTTTTAATGAGGGATTAAGGCTTTTCCTGGCAGAATATTCCTGAAGAATGTTTCTGTCCCAAGGACCCTCTTAAGCTGCCCTTGCTACTAAACATCCAGCACTTGGAATTACACCCTTTGTACTTCCCGCTGAAAAGTAAATGTGCCTAACACGGATGTGAAGAGACCTGGGCAGTTTGCACCAGCTACGTCCTGGGTTCCGTTCTCCTGCATCACACCTTGTCCCTGGTGAAGATGTCTGCTCCCAGCTGCCAGCTCCCTTTGCCACCCGAGCTCTGAGCTCCACCTTACAGCTCTTTAGGAGATCAAGAGACTGGGCAGCAGCATTTGCACCAGAATGGCCAAGACATTAGCACGGAATTCTTTCCATAATGGTGCTATACTGGTAGCCTTATTCCAACATCCTCCTCAAAATCCTAAAGGCTCCGCTAACAAAGAAGTGTCTGCTTGAGGCAATGCTCTGCGCCCACAGATGGTGAGGAAAGCAAATTCATCTCCTTGGGTATTGGCCACTGTTCACATGTTAATTCCTATTTACCTTCAGAGTGTTTGCATTAAGCTTTCCATTAATCAATTATTAAGATGGTCAGGAGTGTATTACAACTTTACAGACTCTGTTACATAAAAGTTCTGTTTGCAGCAAGCTTTTGACAGGAGAAAGGCTGTCTGGATAGAGCAAAGCCTTTCCTGTCCCAGAAATTTCTGCACAAGATTTATCCAAGTTGGAAAGGTTGGAAAGAGTTAAGAACTGTCACATTCCCCCCGTTTTGTTTTTTCTTTTCTTTCATTCCTCATAAAAATGTTGGCACTTTGCTGAAAACTGTGAAYATAGCAAAGCCCAAACCAGTCTAATAGCTCTGCCAAAGCAGCAGCTGCAGGTGTTGGAYAGAAGACACTTTTGACCTTTCAAAATGAGCCTTGGTAAGAAGGCGCGTGTGCTTATGGAGGTGGGGAGCTTCTCGCCCCCAAGCCCAGCCCCACTCCTGGCACCTTGTCCTTTCCTGCACATAACAAAGGAATTCTTCCAACATATGCCCCCCTAAACCCCTTCCCTCTGATGATCTCCCTCCCCTGTCTAGGGAGGTAAAGACCCTCCCTAGGCTGGTAATTGAGGTGATGGATGTGCTGTTGATAGCCTGAGGTTTCAACGCCTGCTGGGCCCGGAAGATGACTGCTGTCATTCTGAGACTTGTCACCCATAGAAGGAAAATCCTGAGAAGAATCAGGAAAGTACAGTGCTCTGCTCCGTGGGGTTTCTGCAGTGTGATGTGCGGCCCTGCGTGGGTGGGAGCTGAGCGGTGACCAGGCCCGGCCAGGCCGCACGCTGGCACCCCAGCTGTGTCCCGGCGCAGACGGTGTCGCTCCAGCGCGAGCAGACACCGCGGCTATCCYGACGTCTGGGATCCGGCCCTGGCTCCATCCGGGCTCACTGGCCATGGAAGGGAGAAAGTGTTTTGTTCGGAGGGAAGGAAGAGCCATGAGGGGTGGCTCAGGAGCAGAGGGATGAAGAACGGGAGGGAGAAGAAGGGTGGAGAAAGAGAGGGGTCTCCAAGCATCCAATTGCTTGCTGCCTTGGAGCCTTTGCAAGGGGGTGAAGCTCTTTAGAGACACATCCTGTCCCTCAAGCCATTGCCTCAAGCAAAGGGAGTTTGCTGGGGAAAGTCAGATACCCCCTCTCCCCCGAAACACACCTCCACTTTTCTCCCCCTAAACAACAGCTTGACCAAAAATTTGAATTGAAGAGCAGGAGTTGGAGGTATTAGGGTGTTTTTTGTTGTCACGAAAGATTGAGATGGTATCTCACATCACCAGCTTGGCCCCATATGTTCCATCTCGTGTTATGACATGCCGGCTGCAGTAGTATTGTCTTTTACACTAATATTGTCTTTTAGACCGCAGCTCCCTGAGGGGGAAGGAGGGCTTTGAAGCTACACATTCAAATCTTCAAAGAAAGATGTTGATGAGCACTCTCAGAGACGGTATGGGAGAGTGTGCAAAAAGGCAATAGCGCTAGAAAAGTGGTTCTCCCCCTTTCCTGTGCTTACTGGAAAAGCTGTCCCACCTTTGAGCAGTGGGATGCTCCCCCTGAATGATGAAGAAAGATTATTTATTTTTTTCTGTCCAGTTAGAAACTTTCGCCAGTTTCTTCCAATACCTATGAATTAGAAATAATCCACATACCTACGGTACATACTGGAGCCTTAACCCATGGCAGTGATGAGACTGGAGGGGATGGCACACCTGCATGTTCCTATAGCACACACCGCTCTAGGCATTTTTTCACAAGTCCTTAATCTCTGCTCACATTACATGGCAGAATCCCCTAGAAAAYGCCAGTTTATACCGATAAGGAATGTGGTAAAAGCCGGTGATTTTAACTGTAGAATCGTACTACTACGAAATAATAAATCGCTCAAGAGAACGTGCTTTCGCTCTCTGCACTGCTTGCTTTCACTTCCGCTGTGAAATATTCCACAGCCTACACATTATTAAGTCATTAGAGTTACAGGAACTTCGTGTGGTAAAGTAAAAAAAAAATTCCATCAATCCCCGAAGATAAAAAGCTGTGTGCAATGCTCTGGGGCTCAAACTGCCTCGGTCAGAGCTGTGCACTGCTCTCTCAGTTCGATTCTCAATGGAAACTGCTGAGTTTTATTACGTGTATTATTTAACTCACGATTATCTGCAGTATGTGCTTCAAGAATCACATCTTGGACCAGCCCAAACCAGAGTTGCTCACGTCCTGCGAAACATTGCGTCCTCACTGCAAGATCAAACAGAGGAGGCTCTGCGACCCATCTTGGATAGGATTGATATTGACTCTGTAGATGTTGCCAAGAGAATTTTCAATGGAGTCATGGAAGAAAATTTTGCTGATGGAAATACCAACTGGGGACGAATCACGACCATATTCACCTTTGGAGGACTTCTCACCAAGAAGCTTCAAGAGCACGGAGTTCAGCTCACTGGAGAGGAGAAGGAGCAGATTTCTTACTTCATCACAGAGTACATCATAAATAACAAAGCTGAGTGGATAGATGCGAATGGTGGCTGGGTAAGTTGCAGTCCAGCATCTTGTAATTCTTTACCAAATAGTTGACTGTTCTTAATTAAGGAAAAATATTGTTACTCACCATGTCAAAAACAGCATAGTCTGGGCTTTATTTGGTGACTTAATTTCTGATGTCTGGAATCTCTCCTTGAGACCTACAGTAAAAACTTGGCTTCTGCTTGAAAGAGAACAATGCTAAAATATATTTTTCTATTACAAAAATCCCATTCTGTACCTTTAACAGTTAAAATTGTATAGCCAGTCTTGATTCATAGGATCACGCCATAATTCAGACTGGGAGGGTTATTAGGAGATCACCTAGACCAGCCCAACTCAAAGCAGGGTCAACTATAAATTCCATGAAATTTCAAATTTGAATTTATTAAATTCAAAAATAAATGGCATCCTAAGGATAGGTTTGGCAGTTACACTTCTGCAGAGGAGCTGGTCCACGCTGAAGGTAAGCAGTGAGCATACAGGGGTGATCCTCAGGGCTGAAGTCAGTGCTTTTGCTTGCAGTGGGTTTCACTAATTCATCCCCCAGGTCCGTTTAACAAATTTACAGCTAAATACAACTACAGTCAAATTGTAGGTTTGTTTAGGACTGAGATAATCCTACAAGATTCATACAGGAATGGTCAAAACGGTGAAAAACCTTCCTCAATACGTGTGTTCTTTTATCAAAGTGCTGAATTTCCCTTCTGCTTGCAGAGGGGGAGGTTCCTTTCACTTTGCAGAGTTTGCTTACGCTGCACAGCATTTTGTACCACACGCTGGGGAAGGGGAAATTAAGTGACATCAGAGTCAGATATTTCCCTGGTACTTTTTTCCTTTACCTATTTGTAAATGGTACTTTCTCTTTACACGCCTCTCTATTCCCACTTCCCTTATATTTGATATTACTTTTTCCCTCACTTGTTTTCTAGTCTGAGGGATTTTTTTTCTCTTTATTTTCTCTTTGCTTGCTTTAGTCTTTTCTCTGGTAACAGCAAAAAAAAAAAGTGATAGTGAGTCACTGATCTATCATGCATCAGATTTATTCTGAAGCCTTCTCTCTGCATATTTTTCAAATAGAGACAATCCTATCTACAAATAGCATTCGCTGTCATAATATGTAGTTCACAGTAAAATAATTAGGCTTAAAACAATAAATTTATAATTATTATATTATAAATAATGCTAAATATTATATTTATAAATATAATAAATGCAATTTATATTTATACATTTAATATTTATAGCATAGATGTTATAAAAATAGCTATTTTCAGCTACTTTTTAAAAGCTCTGTTCATCTTTTTAAGATAGAGCATTGAAAAGTTAACCCTCTGTGAGCGAAAGTGTGGTTTCCTTAACCTGGCACTAGCACAAAGTGATGTGTTTTTCCTCATTATTTTTAAGCTCTCCCTAACTGTGCATGCTCTTTTTTTCACAGGAAAATGGCTTCCTGTCGAAGTTTGAAAGGAGATCACTACTATCTCTCTCCAAAATTACAGCCCTTTTGATGGCTTTTTTCTCCCTGTTCAGGGAGTACTACTGAAAAGAATGGGCCTGCCATGTGTATAAAGTAGATATTGCTCCAAGCTTCATAGCCAAGCTTTCCTCCAAGCAATATCAAACTGGAGAATACTTTTCCTGCAATTTTTTAATTTATTTGTATTTATTTTTTACTAAATACAATGTTTAACATGCTATCCTAATGGCCAAAACTGAAAAACTGGACCCTCTGAAGAGGAACCAAAGCAGCATCGTTCACCAATGCAAATCAACCTTTTCAGGCAGGACTATTTTGAGAGAGAGAGTTCAATAGCTAGGCGGTTTTTGGAATCCAGTGCATGTTTGTGAAAGGACATTGTTTACTTAAATACAATCCAATGGGTTAAGAAACAAGTTTTAATCTCATTTGTTTTGTAAATGAAGTACTATGTAATGCATTTTACTGCAACCTTTGTGTAAGCATAAGGGTGAGGGAAAAGAAAATGCTGATTCCAGTGCAGAAGTGTGTGTGGCTCAGACTAAAGAGTTTTTAGGGAAAGAGCAATTAGTGGAAAGTGGCAACTTAAAAATGTGCACTCACTTACTGTCAATGCAATGGTATGTGTTTAACAATTATTGCTGTATATTTTTAATTGTTCATATCTACAGTGACTGCTCCTTCACATTTTTGTAATGTAGTCACCTGACTGAACGTCTTTAAACAAAACAATTTTAAATAGAACAAAATGTTTAAGAAAATTATGTAAATACACTAATTTCTGAAAAAATACATTAAAATGTGTATTTTAAAGTTTTACAATTGCTTTTTTTTTTTTCCAGGAAACATGGAGGGTGGGAAAAGGGGAATATAATTACCTAGATTAGGTAACTCAGAAAAGCTAATAGGSAGCTACTGCAAATCTAAGTAAGGGTTTGAGCCATACTTGTCCATTGATGCAGAGGCTTTAATTTTCTGCAATACTTCTTCAGTACTGTAGTAACTTGTATAAGAAACAGGCAGCCTTTTTTGATACCTATTTACTTATTTGCAATTTAAGTCTTCTTGATAGGACTCACTATTCAGTTACATTACTATTCAGTTCCCTTTCATACATAGTTTTAATTAAGTCTATTTTGTAATATAGTTAACATTAGGCATTGATACTACAGTCACATCCTTTTATACTAACCAAGTAACTTATTTTCTATCGGGGAGCAAATTTTTAAAGGAAATATAGAAGGTTAACCTGGCCTTTTAAACAACAGAGTTGGTGTCATGATTTTAGAACGTGCCTTTCTCAGATAAGACCTCACTTTAAATAAAAGCCTGGATCATTAATGGCCCAGCGGACTAAAGTTTATCTTCAACAGTTCAGAATCTCCCTTGTTCTGCATTTGAGAACAAGAAAAGCAGTGATGAGATACTACTTTAAATGGACATAAAGCAGAACACCTTAACACATGGGGTGACTGTTTAAGTCTTGTAAACCACTGAACACTATAGATATGCTTTATTAGCTGTACATGTCCCTGCCTGACGTGGCGCCGGGGCCACCAGCAGCGAGAACCGCCCCAGCTTTCAGGCCACGCAGGAGACGCCGGTGCCACTTCCAGGGCAACAAAGAGCAGCAGGGCAGGACATGCAAAGACTTCATCACGTCGGCACACGGAGATGTCACCAAATAACACGCAGAGCACATCAATGAAAACGCCTAATCCCACCTCCTATCAATGRAGAAATGTTACTTTCCACGCTTAAAACTGGTTTGGAGTGTGGGATAGGCCGGGTGAGGCTCCCCGATGGCGGCTGATCCGCTCCCGGTGAGCGGGCCGCGAGGGCTGGCGGCCGTCCCACTCCGGCTGCGCCCCGGCCCCGCTCTGTTCCCCGGGATCCACAGAATG